TTGTAGAGATATCTGTAGTTCCATGTTATTACAGCACTATTCACAATAGCCAAGATATGAAATCAACCTAAGTGTCCAACAGATGAATGGATTTTTAAAAATTGTGATATGTGTATATGTGTGTATATATACATACACAAATGCACGCACACACACACAAGAATGCTATTCACCCATTCAAAAGAATGAGGTTCTTTCATTTGAGGCAATGTGGCCAAGCTTCGAGGACATTAAGTTAAATAATACAGGATGGACACAAAGGTAGAAAAATCACATCTCATTCATATGTGGAAAGTAAAAATGTCTCCCTCATAGAAGCAGAAAAATGGTTACCAGAGGCAGAGCAGCGAGTGGAAGGGGAATATAGGGATGTTGGGGAACAGATACAAAGTTACAATTCGACAGGAGGAATAGTTCTAGCCTTCTATAGCACTGAAGGGTAATTAGAGTTAACAGTAAATCATTGCATATTTCAAAATAACTAGGAGAGAGGATGTGAATATCCCCAACACAGAGTAATGATAAAAGTTAGAGGAGATGGATATGCTGACTACCCTCATGCGATTGTTACACATTGTATTCATGTACTGATAAAAATCGCACTGCTAGGAGTGCTTTCTTTCTCTCTTTCTGTCTCCCTGGTGACCATATGTGCCCTTTAGCAATTAAAAAAAAATGGCATTATCAAGAGTAAGGGAGACTTTAGGGCAATGGGGAATAAAAAGAAAATATAAAAACACTAGAAATAAATGTCCACCAGCAAAAGAACAGATAAATTGTGTTCTAGTCATTCAGGAGACTATTACAGAGGTATTTAAATGAATGCACTAGGGACCAGCAGATGGCATCATGGTTGCGTCACTGGACTCCCACGTAGCCCACCATATTCTGAGTCCTGGACTCTGCAGCTTAAAACTCGTGCCGGGCATGCATGTGCGTGTGTGCCCAAAATTCTGAGAGGAGAATGGAGGAGAAGGGACTGTGGTGTGGCCATCCCCCCACACGGGGGTGATTTCTCACTTTCTGTCTCTCTCTTTGTCTCTTTTTCTGGCAAGCAAATGGACTCTATAGAAAAAAAAATCTCTCTCAAAATAAATAAATAAATAAATAAATAAATAAGAATGAACGAACTACCCAAATGCCTCAAAAGTATTTCAGCTCAGGAAAAAAAAATAAAAGTCAAAGAAAGCTATGTATGGAATACCATCATTTATATAAAATGTGAAAATGTACTAAGCTGGGGTAGCAGGCCACAGTTTGAGTTCTGGATCTGGCAGCTTGAAACTCACACCAGGTGTGTCTGTGCGTGCCCAAAATGGAAGAAAAAGGATTGTAGTGTGGCCATTTCCCCTGGGGAGTGATTTCTCACTTTTCATCTCACTGTCTCTCTCCCTCTCTCTGTCTCTCTTCTCTGGCGAGCACACACACCCTATGGTAAAAAAAAAAAAAAAAAAAAAACCTGCTAGGCATCATTTTAGCTTGTTCAGGATTGTAGAAACAAGCAAGAATAGTGTAAAAATAGGCATAGAGTTGGAAAAACACCGAATTTAAGTAGGTTACCTCGGTGGAGAGGTGGAGAGAAGGGAAGGAATGCAATCAGGGAGATATACACAGGAGAATTAGACTTTATTAGTCATGTTAAAAAAAATTGAAGCAAATACAGCACAGTATGAAGATTTCATAAAGCTGGTTGAGGTGTCCAAAGTCGTCCTCCATCTTTTCTGAAGGTTTGAAGACAATGACCAGGAATGCAAGAGAAATGCCATAATTGGGAGAGACACCAAAATCTAAACTCCATGGACGTGCATACTTCGCCTTACCCATTGCTCTACCCCTCCAGTTGAAAGAGTGGGGGGAGAGGAGGGCGGGCGAGGAGGCGGGAGGGAGGACGGGAAGGTGGCGGCGGGAAAGGACCAAGGCGAGGAGGAATGGGCGGAAGGCGGCAGCCTGTAGGTCCTCAACAAATAGCTCCTGAACGAATGAACATAGGCAAAGCTCGGAGAAAGGTTGGAGCACGGTGTGTTCTAAAAGAGCTCATCGTCAGAACTAACTTCCAGGGACCAGCAGGTGGCGTGGTGTTTCAGGTACCGGACTCCCACACGGCCTGCGGTGATTCAAGTCCCAGACCTAGAGGCTTGAAAATCACACGGTGGTGTGTGCGTGCATGTCCAAAATCCCAGGAGGAGAGTGGGGAGGGGAGTAGAGGAGAAGGGATTGCTGCATGGCCACCAATCCCCCCACCCCCGGAGGGTGACTTCTCACTTTCCCTCTCCCTGTCTCTCTCTGGCAGGCACATGAACCCTATGGCAAAACCTGAAAAAGAAAAGAACTAACTTCCATTCACTCCTGCATGCACCAGCCACTGGCGTAACTACTTGACATAAATTATCTCATTTGTCCTTGCAACAGTGGTAAAGACCACTAGTATCCTCACTCAACCAGTGAGAAAACAGAGGCTTAGGAGCTAGAGAGCGTGCCCGAAAGGGCAGTAGTTAAGAATTAGCATCTGTATTCCATCCAGAAAAGTCTGGATTTTATGCTGTCTGGAGCAGTGGAAATAAACAAGGTGGGCTCTGGACCAGGAGCTTGCAGTGCAGGCACATTGAACAGATACCCAGAGTGACACCCTAGAGTGAAAAATAACCAGGTCCAGATGAGGGGGGCACATGTCCTGTGCCCAGCAGGGAAGCACAGGAAAAAATAAAAGTTAAAGAACGCTATGCATGGAATACCATCATTTATATAAAATGTAAACATGTACTGAGCTGGGTAGCAGGCCACAGTTTGAGAGAGTGGCCACAGTTTGAGCAGGCCACAGTTTGGAGAGGACACAGGGAGGCTGGGGGAAACAGGGGCTACATCAGGGAACATATAGTCCTGCTGGAAGGGAGGGAGAGGGTCTCTGCCAGGAGACCTTTGAAATTGGCCTTGAAGGAGAAGTGCACCTACAAATACCAGGCTCCAGCTCTTCCTGCTCCTTCACCAGCTCGTGCCGTTGCCCTGGACAGTGAACACGGAGCCTGACTGTACGAGGCTGAGGCCACCCACAGGCAGCATGGACTAAGTGGACTGTAGTTTTCAGCTTGAGAAAGTTTGCTCTTTCCTTTATAAACAGAGAAAGAAAAAACCACTCAAGGCCCTTCTTTAGAAACTGTGATGTTGGTAGTAATTGCTCACCCTGTAGTAGCAACTGCTAACACTGAGTACTGGGCTAAGTCATGATATGCTTTCCTGCAACAGCTCTATGAGGCAGCTAGAACTTTATTCCTTTTCGGGGCTGAGGAAGCCAAGGCTTAGAGAATCCATGTTGGTGTCTTGCCCAAAGTCCTGTGCAGTTAGTAACTGGTGGAGCTAGGGTTTGAACCCATAGCCATCAACTCCCAGCCCACAGCTTAGCCATTGTCCCTCACTAACACAGACATCCAATGAAACAACAAGGACTTTATTGCTTTCGACGGGAACAATAAACACGAATGTGACACGAGCTAACTAGAACCAAGCTCGTCATGGCCCGCGTGAACACCTGCTGTCCCATGTGAGGTGCTCCATAAATGTTTGTGAGATGAGGTGGCGTTTGGGTCCCCAAAATGAGAACCAACCCAGTGTCATAATGACATGCCACACTGATGTGAGGCACACGGGAACTTACGGAGGCCACCGGGACATGCTGAGGAGTCAGACGCCTTCGCAGGACAACACTGATGGAAGCAGCCGTGGCTCCTCTCAGCCCCCGGCTCCACTTCTGGTGAGCCTCTGCCTCTCTCACCACCCTGTTTCACCAGCCTCCCTGTGGCCTCTCCTGACAGAAGGGCAGCTGTCACGGGGTGCTGTGCTCCTGGAGGGACGGCTCCACAGTTTCCCACAGAGGAGACCTACCACCCAAACAGTCACTAAGTGGTTGGACCCAGAGCTCTCCCAAAAAGCCCACAGGCCAAAGACAGTGAGTGAGAACAGCAAAAAGAAAGAGCTGGACGGGCTCTACTTTCCGAGTGCAAGTGGTAGAGCACGCCATCCTCTCTCCCCAGCTTCCCCGGGGTTACGTGCACCCAGTTCACCCTGCGTGATTTCACATTTACCGACACTCGCTAAGCACAGGACACAGGCCCTGGCTGAGTTACACCCGCACTCAGTAAGCACTGAAGAGCCCCAGCTTTCTTCCAGACACCAAGTCAGGCACAGAGGGGAGGACAGGCCTAAGGCCAGGCATGGGCACTGGAGTGTACAGTGGAGGAGGAGGAGGAGGAGGAGGAGGA